GTTTAATTCCCTTCATCGTTGAATGGTTTCCAGATGTGGAGCATGGCCTCGCTGTCCCCGTTTCAGAGCTCTGATGTTCTCGTTATGGCCCCTCGGCGACATGACATGAACGCTGCGTGTAATGATAACAGGAAACAATCTGAATGGCCTCCTCCCTCATTATGACACTTATTTCAGCCTGTGGAGCTTCATGTTCGTTTCATCCTTTTGCTGCCTGATCTGCATCGCATCCTTTCTGTTGGTCTTTCAGTCCCTTCGTCCAGTTTGTTTTCACGTCTTGATAAAGAACAGCAGACTTGGACTGTCATAACCACAGAAGACTAAATCATTTCCAGAATGTGAAGAATGTTTGACTGATGTGTGCCTTTGATAAGCAGCATTCATTCTGACACTAATTATTGAAGGTAAATCTGAAGCTCAGAGGTGAGAAACATTTGTTTCCAAAGGGCCACATCACGACATTTAAAGCAATCAAAGGGCTGCATAAAGAATTGGAAAATAAATATTATTTATGACAGATAATATAGACTTTTTTTAAAGGCTTTTTCTTATTGTAGCATAGTTAGCATACTTTGTAAAACATGTCTTTCCCATATCTTTTAGGAATATAAGACGTATTCTGGCTCTTGTGACAATTTACATGTTAGCTTAACATTATATATGTTCGCTTGCACACATTAGCTAAATATGTTATACATTAGCTTAATATGCTATACACGTTAGCTTAACATGTTATACACATTAGCTTAACATGTTATACATGTTAGCTTAACATTAGCTTAATATGTTATACACGTTAGCTTAACATGTTACACACATTAGCTTAACATGTTATTTACGTTAGCTTAACATTAGCTTAATATGTTATACACGTTAGCGTAACATGTTATACACGTTAGCTTAACATGTTACACACGTTAGCTTAACATGTTATACACGTTAGCTTAACATGTTATACACGTTAGCTTAACATGTTACACACATTAGATTAACATGTTATACACTCTAGCTTAACGTTATACACATTAGTTTAACATGTTATGTCAGCGGAAATATGCAAAACAAACTTAAATGTTTGTGTTTCTAAGTCTTTAAGGTTCAGTCTAGTTATGGAAACATGATGACTTAATGTTTTTTAAAAAGTTTTGCGTAAATGTTTAATTTAAATTTCCTTAAATCTCGTTAATTGATTTTTTTTTTTTTTATCAGTCTTTTTTACAAAAGTTTTTTTTTTTAAATCTAAGGATTTGGGGGCCTAATTGAGATTGTCCAAGGGCCACTTTTGGCCACCGGGCCTTAAGTTGCCCACGTTTGCTTTAGCCGTTATGCACGGTCAGATTGTTTGTTGTTATAAGAAGAGCAGTCAGATTCATGTTAGTTTATTGTTTAATCAGTCTTCGACTCAGCTAACAGTACTTACAGAATCTAAATATATCTTTCAGAAAATAATACTGTGATTTGATAAAGCTTAGTATCTTTCTGTAAATTTTTCACATTCAACATATACATATTTTTACATATTATACAAAATCAAAACGAACAAAAAAAAAAAAAAAACCAAGCACCACCTTTGAAAGAGCATGTTGGAAAGAGCTGAGGTTTCTGCTGCCCAAACGTCGAACACAAAAGCTTTGAGGGCGATTTCACGCGTCTTGTTTAGCCACTAACAGAAGTGGGCGATTATGATTTCTGCAGCCAGATTGAGGCACACTCTTAAAAAAATAAAACACTCCCAGACTCAAGGAATTGTGTTGATTTCATGGTTCCAGCTTGCTTTATTTTACCAGTGCTGAGCAACGAGTCCGTGTTGATTGCTAATTAGTCCTTCTGCCAAAGGTTCAGATGGTCCTGTTTCCAAAGTCGGCCAAAAACTTAAAAACTGTTAAAATAAACTAAAGCTTGCAGCTTAAAAGGTCACGCCCTGAAAATGTAACTAAGCTGAAATGGATCATGCACATAACAGCAGCGAAAAGTCTCTTAAACTGTAGATTTGCTGCTCAAACTTCATTAATTTAAATTTTTTTTTTGCAACGTTGCTACCTTGTTCAGTTGGAAGCAAATTATGATCCGAGTTCAGTATCTATTTTTTTGTGGAAGTGATGCATGCTGGGAAGTGATAACTGCCATTCAGGGTCGTCTCGAGCCGATCGCAAGTATCGGATCAGTTCGAGACATTTTTCAGTAACTGGTATCAGAGTGGGTGGGACTGTCGCCTCCTGATTCAATAGTTACATCATGTCAGACACACAGTGAGTTAACTACCATAAGACAGGTCTGGAAATTCAAGGTGCCCGAGCACCCATAGTGGTTTCTCTCTGCTGTCTGTTGGTAAAAGATTTGCCAACAGACTGTCCAGCCGGTGCCAAAAACATTCTGCATGGAGCCTCTGATGTTAGACTAGTCCCATATACTGATACGAGCTAAACGAAACAGGAATGATTTATTAATCAGACCAGATCTTAGCAAATAATTATTCTGCACAGTCAGTCAGGTGACAAGGCGCTAAGGTGACACAAAACACTACAGTGCTAATAGTAACTGAGCTGAAGATTATAACAAGAAAAAAATTTAAAGAATTTGTAGCGATAGGGCCAATGCAACTTTTTGCTAAATAAAAAAAAGAAGAAGAAAAAAACAGTTTTATTTCCATGTGCAGTGCACAAGCTGTTAGCGGTGTTAGCATCATTGCAGCTAACAGCACGGTGAGGTAACAGATTTTAAAGCAGCACATTCTGAGGCCCATCAGGATAATTTTACTGACATGGAGTTATGCTAATATCATTACTGAGCAACATCCTGTATAAAAATGATCTTTCAGTCTGACTGAAGCAGGAACTTTTCCCAAGTCAAAACACGTCTGCATCAGCTTAAGTCGCAAAATAACACAAGGAACGACTGAGGCCCAGCTTATATTTTTAAAACACTCTGATCAGCATCAGGAACAAAAAGTCACGGCCGAGACGTCCCTGCTGCCATTTATTTGTGCTGCACAATAATAAAACCGAAACGACGGATCCCGTTCATTTTAGGTTGCGTCTGAATAAATACGAATTTAAACATTTTGGTTTTAAGTCGCAACAAGTGCATCAAGGTTAGACATGTGTAACAAATGTCCTCCCTCAGATTATTAAGAGCTTTAATTCAAACAGTTTATAATCCCGAACAGTTTCTCTTCCATCTGTAAGTGAAATGTAAGATTCAGGACCAGGTTCAGATAAAAAAAAAAAAAAAAGGGTCAGAGTGTGCAAGAACTTTACAGACCTGCACAGACTGCGTCTTCGAATGTAAACACAGTTTGTTAGGAATATTTCTCACAGTCTATGAGAGCAGATGCCACGGTGGAGGTTTATGCTGCAAAACTGAAACGTCACGAGCTGATTCATACCGTTTCTGTAGGCACAAAATATTCTTCGCATAGAAAATGTTTTCAAACAGTTGGAAACACGAGGCGATATTTCAAATCAAAGTGCTTCTAGAAAATCTTTCATTTTTATGGCGGCAGGAAAACGGTGGAAACTCCTTAAAGAAAGTGTAGCATCTATGAAACTTAATACACAGACGTTCACACATTTGATTTCGTTTGAAGTGAATGCCCCATCGGGTGGGTGTCACCTGTCCACAGGGTGGGGAATAAACTGGCCCTCTTGTTCAGAAAGGAAGTTAATGAATGTGGTAATGCAGCAAACATAAAATTAAATATTTGTATAGCATTTTACAAGAGGTATTTTACACTAAAAAAATATATCCAGCTAATTTTTTATTAAGCAAAAACGACACAAAGCAGGTTTAAGGCGTCTAAGCAGCGTTCTGTGTCAAGCACATTGAACTGGTGTTGTCTAGGAGAGTTCGTCGTGTTCTCAAGAGGATTTATGATTTACTGTGACCCAGAGAGGGCGAATATTTCCACTGGCCAAAACCTCTTAACCACCAGTGTTTGCTCAAGAGACCCAGAGAATGTGCATGAACTTCAGCGGGCAAAATGACCTGGAGACAAAGAAAGTCGTTCAGAAACTGGGCTCGGGTTAACGAGATGATTCTTAACGAGCGGCTCTGAACTGCGCACGATTAGCAGGTAATCCGATTTCAGCAGAGGCTACGAGAGGTACGTCGGTTATGTCTGAACCCTGAATGCAAGCTCCGTACAATCTGTTAGCAAAGTGCGTTAAGGGTGTACATAAATCAGCATCTATATTAATCGTTTTATGTCAGAGCGAAAAAGAACGAGAGCTTATTTTCACAACAGTATCCGAGTTAAAAGGTGTCATTTGTTGATAACTGATAGTTTATCCTAAAAAAAAAAAAACATCTTGCTAAGTTAAAATTTAAGCCTCGTCCTCACTGAATGAGAGAAAACGACCTAAACGGCGTAGCAACAACGCCAGACCAACACAATGATGCAACGTGTTATTACTGTTGTTACACCTGTCACGCCTGGGGTCACAGATTAGGCAGGATGTGAGTCTACTCTATCATTGTCTTCAAACGGTTGTTTTGACTGTTTACGCACAAACACAAGGCTGGTGTTGACAGATTTTTTTTCACTATGGAACCCGGTTTTAAGAAATGACATTTTGAGGCTCCGAAAATGTCGTCTCCATGTGGACATGAGGCTGAACAATAATTAACAAAACGCCTTTCCCTTTCGTTGTTGTGGCAGCATGTGTGATATTCATATGCAAAGTCATGTTATGACACATTAATGTTGCTTTTATTAGCTTTGGCCGCCGTATATTGATGCTTTGTTAATAATTAAAAGAGCTTGGCTTTATTCAGCTAAGGTTTATAGCTTATTGAATCTGCCTGTGTGTTCGAAGGAACTTCCTACGTCCAATATCTCTAAAGAAATTCACCATCTTGTCATTGAAAGGTGAAATTGAGGCGGACATGCATTTGTTAAACTTGAAATCTGATTCATAAAACAAGCCCGCATCTACAACAACACTAGCGTGCTTGGAGAAAGATTCAGAAATCAATTTTGTGTGATGTAACTGGACGATTGTACTAATTTTAACACCCTTTAAACCAGAAACCCAAGTATGTTTGTGGTGAGCTTTACTTAATGATAAAAAAGCAGCACTTTGAGTGTGTGTGTGTGTTTTGTCCTGTCGCTGTGGAAAATGGAGATATCACATCGAGTTCTGGAAAGGGACAGGAAATTCCACCGTCAGTAGCGTCGCTCCTCACACAATCCAGAGCCGTGAGGAAGCCCGGTCAGATACTGGCTCTGTGTGGGTGGGGTGGCTGAGTGGAGGGTGGTGCTGGCGGCTGGGCCCAGGAGAAGTTCACGTCACCACTTGCTGCACTGCTGAGCGTTCATGAGGGCAGGACTGGTCCCTGCAGTGCAGCCTCCTGAGCAGCCGCTGGAGCTTGCCGGAGAAGTTTTTGTTCATCCGTCTGTACATGAGGGGCATTGCAAAGCTGCTGGAGAACGCCAGCAGTTTAGATACACATTTTATGAAGTTATACGTAGGAAAGTAATGTGCGTTGGTAATGTGCCCCGGTGCACCAGCTACAGTGTGCACCAACAGGGTCATGTAGTATGGGGTCCACAAGACAAACTGCACACAGACTGAGGCAAGCAGCAGCCTGTGTATAGATGGGTCCAAGCGTGCCGAGTCCTGATCCAGAGGCGTCGACTCCTTTCTGATGCGTAAAATTAGAACAAAAGCGTAAAGCACGGCAACGGCCGGAACGGCGTAACCAATGAATATCATGATGGCGTCAGCTGCCTCTTTGTTCTGCATTTTGGAGCACTCGACCATCTTCGTGGAGATGTGGTTGCACACGTAGAAAAGCAGCGACGAGAAGCTCGTCAGCACCGCCCCGCCCCAAATGAACCCGCACACGTGTTTGGTGTTGTACACGCTGGACATGTATGTTCGAGGGAGCGCCCGCTCTATGTAGTAGTCCAGACTGAGCAGCGTGGTGGAGTACATGATGACCAGAGAGGAGATATTGAAGAGGATGAGCAGGGTGATGAGGATCTCGTCGTTGTACTCCCATGCATGCCAGCGTGTGAACGCAGAGCCAAGGAGCTCCACCGGTGCCACCAGGTTGAGCACGAGGCCCGCAATGGCCATGTTGACGAAGTAGACGTCGGGCATGGTCATGGAGACCTTGTTAGAGAGGTTTACCGCGACCAGCAGCACATTGTAGCACAGCCCCAGGGGGAAACACACCAGGAGGTAGATGAGGGAGAGGACCGATAAGATGAGGCCAAAGTCCTGGCAGAGCTGGATGTCCAAGATGGTGTCCGTCTCATTGTGAAGCATGCAGATCCACATCGCTGGGCTCAGACAAGCACTCTCAGCAGATCTGCTAGAACACAGAAACAGAGATTAGATGAATGAAGTCATGAGAATTAAATGAGAATTTCAACAATAATAAATGTACCATTTTTTTCACCGTATAAGTTGCAGTTTTTTGCATCATTTGCATGCCCTGCGACTTATACGCCGAAGTGGCATATTTATGGATTTTTCCTCATATTTATAAACTAATTTGTGGCTGAGATACGATTGTTTTCATTCATTCTGACTGAAAATTTTGAACACTACCATTTTCAGCCACTAGATGGCACTTGATTAGTAAGGCATGCTGTTGTATAATAATGTAATAAGTAAAAGTGGCTATTAATGACACAGCCGACTTGCCAAAGCCTGCCACCGTCGTCTGCCTGGAGCAACTGATTCAGCTTCATTTCACCGCGCCGCCCCGGCGAAATGCAGCTGATTTGACCGTCAAAGCTAATTTATTAAGTAAAAGTTCAACTGAGACACACCTTTACTATAAAGTCAAGCAAACAAATAATTGTTTTTAGGTGGTTATCTTGTTAAATTTCTAAGAAATGGACAGCGAGTCTCCCTCTGCGCATTCATGTTTCCGCGTATCAGCTTTTTAAAACGCAGCTGATTTGACCGTCAAAGCGCATTTTTAAGTAAAAGTTCAACTGAGACACACCTTTACTATAATTTAGAGCAAACAAATAAATGTTTTTAGGTGGTTATCTTGTTAAATTTCGTAGAAATGCACAGAGGCTCGTCCCTCTGCGTGTTCCTATTTCCACGTATCAGTGTTTGAAACGCAGCTGATTTGACCGTCAAAGTGCATTTAATAAGGAAAAGTTCAACTGAAACACACCTTTACTAGAATTTAGAGCAAACAAATAGTTGTTTTAAAGCATTAATCTTGTTAAATTCTTGTTAAAGTCCTCCTGTGCACGTTCTCGCGGCTGCCATTTGGCAGCCAATCGATTTTTAGCACAACACCGGCCCACATTTCTGGGTTCGGCCCACATTTCTGGGTTCGGCCCACATTTCTGGGTTCGGCCCACATTTCTGGGTTCGGCCCACATTTCTGGGTTCGGCCCACATTTCT